GAAAATAAAGAATATTAATAAAAATAGAAGAGCAGAATCAAATGGGCCAGTTAGGATGCTAATGCAATAATGTAGGTAAGACGTGGTGTAGGGTGGGGTGATAGACCAACGTGGCAGAAGTGATGAGAAAGGCAGAGCCAACGGAACATGCTGATAGATTGGGTGTGGGGACTGTGTCTATGAGAGAGAGAGAACTGAGAGTGCCCGCTTCTTAAAATATTAATTCATCTTCAGCTCATACAGCCTCCCTTTCTCCTGGGTTTTCTCTTTCTTATTCTGTGTAGGCATGTCTGCCTCTGTTTCTTCTATAACTGATCATGCTCCCCAGGATTTGTTCTTCTTCCTTCATAATCTATAGGTTCTCCCACAATCTATAGGTTCTCCTCATAGATCATAACCAAACCTATGACTTCAAATTTCACTTGTGTTCTGATCACTCCCAAATACGTAACTTCATCTTTGATTTCCCTTCTATGCGCCAGAAACACATATCCAGACCCTATTATAAGGGATTCCCACCTAGCTACCCCACAAGCTTCTTGCACTCACTTTGTCTGAAATTGGACTCAGTATGTTTTCCCCAAAGCATGTGCCTCCTCTGGCTGTATTCCCATCGGTGGAGCTGTGAAGTTCAAAGGTGGCTTCAGCTTTAGGCACAGTTAGATCCAGGGGCTCAAACAATGCCATCAGCATCTTCCCCCGCCCACCCCCACCTCTCCTGTGCCACTACTGTATGTCCACTGGATTCATTCTCTTGTTCTCCACATTTAGCAGGAAAGAAGGTTAATGGTTCAAGCTTATATACTTACTATAGCTTTTGATCCGAAAGAATGAAAGGCCCTCTCTTTCCAGCACCCACGTATCAAACATTAGAGAAGTTCCTGATTAGTTTTGTTTGGCCCACATGCCCAGCCTGGAGCCTAATCAAGGGGCCAGGAGAATAGAGCGTTTTAATTCGCTAGTCTTGGTTTATATGCCCCCCTTTTAGGAAGAGGGGACAATGCGCCTGACAAACCACCTGGAGTGGGGCAGGTAAGGTTCCTTGAAGGAACCTGTTGTCAGAAGGAAGAAGGAATGCCAGGCAGTCAGCAACAGCAGATACATGAAGTCACTCTGCCATATTCTCTCCCAGTGATTATTTAGAATACTTCTACTTCGTAATTATGTGTTCATTTGTCTGACAATTAATTCAACACCTACTTCCCCCACCAGGGTGGGACTTGATGAAAGTGTAACTCTGCATATTTTTGATGACCACAGTACCCTGGCACACAGTAGGCACTTAATAAACATTTGACTGGATGGTTCCTAATCTGTCCAAAGGCTCACCTTTTCTAATCTCGGTCCACCCTGCCACCAGAGTGAGCTTAAAATGCAGGTCTCATCATCCCCCTTCTCTGCTTGTTATCAGTGACTTCTTGAAGATTTCAAACTAAACTTCTTGGCTGGCCTCATGGCTTACCAGTTCCCCAGTGCTCCAGTCAACCTAAACTACCTACTCTTTCTTGACTCTTTTTTTTTGTACATTATTCTGTCTACAATGCTTTTTCTTCCAACTTTTTCTCAGCCAACTCCAGTAAATCTTTCAGAATTTGGCTCTTGTCACCTTTTTCAGAAACCCTTCTTGAGCCTGTGTTCGATGACCTCCTCCAGCACTGTGTTCATCTCTGCTTGTCATACCTGATTCGTTCAGACGCTGCCCCCACCTACCCTCTAAGCTCCTGGAAGTCAAGGGTTCTGTCTTACTGATTTTTGCTGACCTGTACCCCTCCTCCTCCCCAAATAGCATCGACGGTTTCCTTCTCTCTGTGGATCCGCCTCTATTGCAGCATGCACCACAACCACTAATGCTGCTCATCTCTGCTCCTGGAGGATACTGACTATGTACTATTAGCCCCTGCACCTAGCCTGGTGCTTTTGGTTTGCTCTGATGTAACTGAGAAGAATCACAATGGGGAGGCGACAGTCAGTCACATTGTTAGAACTTTTCAGGGTTGAGTCTTAACAGAGTTACACAGATTGTGCCTGTAGCCATGTGATTTTTTAAGAGCAGACCTAATAGTACTTCATGTTATTTTGAAGTCTTCTGGGTGTTTTCTAAATCTTTGTTGTTCATCCATAAATCCTATCTACTAAGATAAGCAGGAAATTGGTTTATTATTGTTTATTGGAAGATAAGATTTTTTAATTAAATCATCCTGTGGACAGGGGTACAACCAAGACTAGAAGGAAAGGAAATCTGTTCACCTGCAAGTGTAGTTCTTTTTATCAGCAAGATTTTACCAGATAAAGCTAAAGCTTTTAGACAAATGAACTTCAGAAAGAAAATCTTCTAGCTACAACCTGGAGTCCTTTTAAATGGATGATTAAAGCGGGAGAAAGAAAAATAAATTGTCAAATGATTGCTCAGTATATATAGAAATAAAACAAGTGAGCATTTTACTATTCAACTGTTTCTAGTAATGTTCCCTTATCATTTACGAGGTATGTATCTATTTTTTTAAATTCGTTTTATTTTTTCAATTTTTTCCTGAAGTATAGTTGATTTACAATGTTGTATCTGCTTCTCATTTCATCTTTATAACCATTTTGTGAGTAGCAGGAATTATCATCCTTTTTTGTTAGATAAGGTAACTAACACTAATAGCTATGCGCTGTCACTCGTTTGAGCAGAATCCTGCTCAACTCACTTTTGTGGCCACTGTACCCCCAGCGCAGGCTCTTGCATCTTGCACAAAGGTGGTGCCCTGTGTGTGGCGTGGCGGACAGGTGAATGCACGTATGTGATTACATCCTGACACAGACGTCAGGTTCTTGGTTCTTTCTGGGATTCCAGGAAGTGTCATTTCAGCATATGTGAAGGAAAAAGTCACACTTTGGCTAAATCCTTTCTAGAAATTTGATTGTTCTTCATTTTTAAGAACAAATTATCGATTAACATAATACAGTCAAAGTCTTAGATGAGTTTACCACATCTAATTGGAGCAGTGTTCTCTATTGCCCCAAATCCAGCTTTGGCCAAATCTCCTAATTCAAGTTCCAAAGAGATCTCTCTCTCTCTCCTTTTTCTTCTTCAAACTACCTGGTACCACCCATTAGTATATGATAAAATTAGTGGCTTGTGTCCAAAATTTTTTTTTGTAGATACAGTATTTTTATAGATTAAAATTAGAAAAATTGGTGTGAATGTGGAGAACAAACAAAACTTTAGAGGGATCTCTTCAGCAAGTTGACTTTTCAAATGTACTATCACATTTTCATGTTTTAAATACCACCCCTGAGTCAAGAGATATAAATGGAAATAGGGAAGTGGAATTTCCATTTTCCTGCCCAAGCTGACATTACTGTTTATATCTGAGTGTTCTCGGAGCAGTGTTACAAAAAAAAAAAGAGTGGAAATGCCATTTAAAGGATTTGACCAAATTTTTTGAAAAATAAAAATAGTATGAAATTATCGAAGTGCGTACAGGAGGAAAACATGGTTTCTTGTCTGGGTTACAAAAATGAAATGTATTCCTTACCATGGGCTGTGGTCAAAAACATTTCAAAACCACTGCTCTGAAGTTACTGTCCCATTCTGCTTAAACATGTGAAATTTCCTCCAAAATGGAATAGTCCGTCACCACCTCAAGCAGGTTTCAGCTTTTTCCAACCTTCTTGATATGACCTGTTTATGATCAAATTGATTCTGTCCAGCAAACGTTTGCAGTAATTAATTACAAACCTAAATCACTTGTGTTAAAAAATGGCCTTTGCTTGTATTCATAAGCAGCCAGATGGGCTTTGGATGCAAATATAATTTTCTGGATTAATACATGTGTTTAGCCTCCATCTTCAGCAAGCAGCCATTCAAAACACCATCTCTTAGTAGACTTGAGTTTATTTTCTTCCATATTCATCGGGTGACAGCTAGACAATTTCCTAATTGATTTAATAATTTAACATTTTCTTCTAAGATTCAAAAAGTCTCGTTAATATGTACCATTCAGATGGTGAAATAGGAATGTGGGGAAGTTTTTTTTTTAAATAGAGGGAAAACAGTGATAGTCATTTAACCGATCCTCCCTGGGAACCCCAGCTTGTCTTACACGAAGACATTTTGCACACACGGTAACAAGTCCAGGTAGGTTTCCAGTTCAGCAGTTTCACAATAAAGCCCCAATGAGTCAGCCTACTGGGTGCTACAGCAGAAAGAGCATGGACCCTGAAAACTAAGGATCTGGGTTCTTCCTGGTTCTGCCACGTACTGTGCTCCTGGATACATCACTTAATATCTCAAAACCTGATTTGTCATATATAAAAATCAGGATGATAAAAAACCAGTATCCTATCTACCTTATAGGACTGCTGTGTTTGAAGATCCAATGCTTTCAATATGCCAGGCATAGATCAATTGCTTTATATAATCCATCAAAGACACTAAGGGAAAAACCCATTGAGCTCATGTGACTGGGATCAGAAATTTGCAGGTTAATCTAAAAACAGAATCATGAAAAAAATTCGTATGTACTTCAGACACTTTTATTTTAACTTAAAACACAACAAATATGTACCCGTTCACTTTTGATGTAGGGCCAAGGCTTCTTCCTTGAATAAGAGTCTATTATTTGGAGTCTCAAGTTTTTTTGTTTTTTTTTTTTTAATACCCCAAACCCAAAATGTATCCCCTCTTTTTTGTTTGACTGTTTCATCATGACTTGCTCATTTATTTCAAAGAATTCTTATCTTGTTTTCCATGCATAATTTTTAGCAGAAATACAATAGAACCGAAAGTTGGAAAAATTTAAATAGAATTTACGATGAAAATTCCACATTTTGTGCTGCTGCTTCCCTAAAATAAAATGTTTTTAAGACCAAGCTGTATCACCTCTGATTTCCAGTGCTGATTTCTTTAAAATGGAGTATGAACTAAAACACTACAAGAATATGAGGGCTGAATCTTTCTAAATTTTTATTACCTTTTTCAATCTGTTATTTCACCCACATACAAGTCAAAGCAATAATTTTTAGCAATTTGCTTTTATTGAGTCATTCCAAACCATTTAAATTGGTTTTCATGGACATAATTGTCTTTTTTTTGCATTCATATTTCATTAATTTACATAATACTTAGTCTATGTATATAATTAAAATTAACCAATAGAACAAGTAATGTTATCCAGTCCCCTGGTGAGAGCTGAAGTGCGTAAGCGTGGCTGGGCGTTCAGCGTGCCTGGGCATCAGTCAGCATGCTTTGCAGAGGGAACTCAGGGAATCCAGCTGCACTCAGATAAAACTGGGTGTTGGATAAGGGAGTTCTGACTGGAATAGTAATCCCATTATCCAGATGAGGCAGCGGGAGGCTTAGAAAATTCAGAGATCTGCCCATTTAAAAAAAGTGACTCGTATATGAAAGCTCAAACTGAGATACAGGGAAAAGGAAGTCAACACGGCTGCGTAAAGGTCAGAGGAAACATTTCTGAGGAGATGCCTGAGCTGAATCAAGAAGGAAACGGGAGAAAATCAGGCAAATAAGAGGAAGGATAGTCCAGGCAGAGAAAACAAAGGTAGTAAAGGCTAAAAAGAATGAAAAACGCAGAATGTAAAAATCTGCTTCACTAGAAAGCAGGATGTATGCGAGACAGGGGTGGGAGAGACTGGAGATCTATGCCAAAGTTTAAATTTACCTACAGGCTACTGGCAGCCGTTGGACAACTTCCCTTGGAGAAGCAACACAATGACATTGATATTTTTAAAAAGAGCATCGCTTTTACAGGATGGCTGACGGAGTGAAGCTGGGAGAGACCAGAGTAAAGGTGGCTGGCTACCTGGGAGGCTATTCAGGCAAATGAAGGCGACAGCCAGGAGGACCTGAATGGGTTCATGTTTGCGATGTCCTCCCATGGTATTCTTTCCCCACTGGGTCTCCTCCCTTTATTCAAGTGTGGGGATAGAACAAGAGAGCAATATCATGGCAGGAAATGTTTCTGGTTTAAAATAAAACTGTTTCTGCTAATACTCCGTATCTGCCCATCTTTCCACACATTTGGGAGCTTATGAGTGGCGTTATGCCCATAAAAGAAGTATGATAATGGGTACTTAGGTGCCCATGTCTACGTAGGATTAAATATGCTTTTATGTGAGCTAGCCTGGAAACCTACTAAAACACTATGTGTCATTTTTTATAAGGTAAAATCAAAGAACATGCCCTAATGAAAATAAAATCAAACAAATGTAAATGGTGGCATAAACTCAAAAAACAAACTATCCCAGGTAACTTGAAATCTCAGTAATTTGTGAACCCAAAGTGGGATGTATTTTAAAGACTCTCCCTCCCCCTACCAAAAAAATACTATTTTCAGTAATCATATTGTTGGTAGTAATGTTGGTGTCGACAGTCTCAGACTTTTGGTTGGATATTGTGGGATTATGCTAATGATTAATTATATGATATTCTATCATTTCTGGCACTAAAAACTAGAATTCTTAGCATGTGAATTAAGAGACACAGGTCAAACAAATCAAGGAAAAACTCTGTAGCCCTGAATTTAAGTGAGAAGTAGAGTACTGGAATAGATTCATGACGTATTTTATCTTAAAACAACAACAAAACATATATTACCTATCTTAATCCACAAAAAAGGCCTGGAAAGCTAGCAACCTAGTCTCAGTGACCATTTTACTGCTGATTGTGGTCTCCAAATAATTTCCCAGTAAAACAACCCAGGTCTTCTTGGAGAAAGTGTTGTTTTCAGGTCAGGCAGGAAATGTGAGATGGCCCTGGGACATCTTACCATCATCATCATCATCATCACTTGGCAAGGATGCTACCAGTGAAAACTACGGTCAAGTCAAATAGACCCAGAAGACAACTTAAAGAGCCCCTCACTGGCCAGAAATGGGACAACCTGAGCATCCACAAGAAAAGCAACTTCAGTGAACTGAAGTTAATCAGGTATGTTTAAATCTACAAATTGCTAATAACACACATTCTCACACACATTGTTCACCACTGGAGATAGGAGTGAACAACTTATTTTGAAAGCATTTATTCTACCTTTCCTAAAAAATTTAACATTAGGTAACCAAACAGTAGATGAAGCAAGTTTCTACCTATAGAGGCATTTTTCCTCATAAATGAAGGGATGCTAGCATTACAGTATCATTTTTCAATCTCCAATGAATCAGTAATTAGTAATTAGATTAGCAAAAGCTCCTACCACTACAAAAAGAGACAACCAACCAACAGTGTGTAAAACAGGCATGCAACCAGCAAAATCCAAACTGAGGGAAACCCGACAGGGTCAACAATGCAGTTTATTCAACAGATAAACTGCAGGAGGGGGAATGAAAGAGAGATGGTGGGAAGTAAAACATGAGTGGACTTCAAACAGGCCAACATCAGTGTCACCTTGCGATCTGTTGAAATGCTAATTCTCAACCTCCACCGCAGACTCAGAATCAGAAACTCTGGGCTGGGGCCCAGCAGTCTTGTGTTTTAACAAGCTTTCTAGGTGATGCTGATGCATTCTAGTTTGAGAACCACTGCAATAGATTAGATTTACAACACTTATCAACCAACTGCAATAAGGTTCTTACTTAGTGCCTGATTCCAAAAAACTAAAAAATTTTGACATCTATAGACAATTATGCTGTCAAGGGATTGTCAATTTTTAAAGTGTGAAAACAGTATTAAGATTATATAGATATATATTTTTAAAGCCCTGAAATACTTATGAATAAAAGATACGTCTAGGATACAATGTCTTTAGAATAATGCAGGAGGGGAAAGAAGCAAGTGAGGGTAGACGGAAGACTGGGCATGAGTTAATAATTGTTGAAGATGAATAATCAGTATCTGGGTATTCTTTATACTATACTTAAAAAAAAACTTTTATTGATTTTTGAGGTTTTTTTCCATTCTAAAAAGTTTAAAAACTCAAAGCAAGAAGTAACTTCAAACAAAATAAAAGACTATAACTTAAGTAGAATTAATCCCTAAATGGAGAAAGTATATGGTGCCTTTATTTAGAGGGCAGTACTGAAATTCACAAAATAAGTTTAAGTACGTTGAAAAAACCCTACTACACACTAGCATGTGACACAGGATTTTGATTTGGATGTAAGGGAGTTCGAATGCTCATCAACCCACTGATGTCATTTTAAACCCCTGATCCTACTGAAGAGAATGACTTACAAATGAGAGAAGAGGGAACACAATCTGGTTCAAGGCATCTGAGCACACACCTTTGCTTTCCAGCTTTCAAACTGGCTTAGATTTTGAAATGTTATCTGTTAATACAGTCAGGTTTACCTGCATTTTTTAAAAGTTTACAACTTAAGTACACAATGAGGACAACCTGACTGGCCTAGTGCAGATATTAATGTTTGATTATTTTTAACTAGAAAGGGGTCAGTCTATCCTTTACGTAAGCAAAGTAGCCAAATCATGTGTTTTGAGAGCTATTCCGAGGCTCCTCTGGCTTGAAATATCATCTCCATTAATTCAGTGGTGGTCTGGATTTAGAGTCATCGAAATGACTCGTCTGGAAAATTTTACTGGCAAGTAATTAACAAAAACGAATTGTGAGGCTGCAGTAGCCCTTAATATCTCCTTGAATTTACACTCTTGTGATGTGATAGCTTTATTTCCTCTGTAATACATCTTTGCTATTGTGTCGTTTTAGGAAAAGGGTGAAAGGATGTTACCTTTCCTCCTTCCTTCTCCCTTTTTACTTCTCCCTCTGATTCACCCTCTTCCATTGAAACACTTGCTGAAAGCTTCAGCCATAGGAAATCTGATTAGGAAGCAGCAGCTTCAAAACTGAAGCGGGCGGGTGGTAGGATGAACTCTATACTTTCACTTCAAAAGCGTGATGGCAGAATTTGAGTGTGGTTCCTTTTCTTTTTATGCTTTGTTTTAATAATTCTACCATTTTGTCATCATTGTTGTCATAATCATTTCCCTCACTGTCACCCTTTTAATTATTATTTTGCCTGGAATAGTTAATGACACGGAGAAAAGACCATTAGAAGTCATCACCATACATTATCAGGCATCTTTTCTGACAAAGGTAACCTTGAAATAGAGACTCCGATTCCATTTCATCTGCTTTTAATGAGCACCTCTGTACTCCCACCCACACGAGGGCTTCGGGGAAACAAGAACCAAAAAAAAAAAAAGACAAAGCCCCAAGTTCAGAGCTCAAATGCTCTAGCCAGAGAGATGAGGGAAGGTGATGGGAAGACACTCACCACCACTACGTGGAGAGTACAAGAGAACATAGCATCTGAGGGCCTGGAAGGTACGGCTTTAGACTGCTTGCGTTCAAATCCTAACTCTGCTCCTCCCTAGCTAAGTGAGGCTGAGCAAGTTACTGAACCTCTCCTGCCTGCTTCTTCATTTGTGAAATGAGGGGGAGAATAGTCATTATTAACCTTATGGGCTGGTCTTGAGATAATCCTTCAACTGGATAATCCATAAAACATTTAAATTTATCCATTTATTTTATCAATTTTGGTGTTGACCATTGTTTCTTATACCCCACATCTTCTCATGGTTTTCTTTTTTGCCCCCTGAAGCATATCGCTTAAAAATTCAATGACCTTGGATTACATAGCTCTGAAAATCTTGTCCCCAGTTTTGTCCCCAAATTTACGGTTTAGCTGTGCATAAAATTCTAGGCTGCTAATTATTTGCCTCGGCTTTGAAAATACTATCCCACTGTCTTCTGGACTTTGCCTTGAGAAGTTTGCTGTTGGTTTAATAGTCGTTCCTCTGCAAATAAATGTATCTTTCTCACTGAAAGAACACATGCATCTAAGGACACTACTGATAAATGTATATATTTGTCACTAGGTTAACATGCCACACAAGATTCCCAATTGCGTGGATTAGGGGAAGATCGTGGTATAAGCATCCTCTCATCCGTTACAAAGGAGCATGGCAGCACTGAAGGCCATTGTGACTACAAGGACGTGCCGTAAGATCAACCACGTGTAACTATAACCTTGCCTCCGGGGAGTCTGCCCAAGAATCCAACAGACTGTACGAGGGTACGGAAGAAACTGCTGAGGACCCTCATGTTTATACTTCCGTGACTTATTACTTTCTTCTCCCCTCATTTCAATAACAGGACAATTCTATATTTTGAGCATAAGAGGCGAACATGACAAAATAGTACATTTAAAACATTGCCCCTTCCTGGCCTATGTTTACCCTCCTTATGGTTCAGGGGATTTAAAAACATGTATCTAGAAAAATGGCAAAACAAAACAGATCTCTCCTTGTAGATGAAATAGCTAAAATTTTGGCCTCTTTATTGATCTCAAGTCATACATTTGGCTTGGAAAAAAGCACACAACAAATAGTTTCCATAAACTAAATGCTTCCTCCAGATCTCTATGCGCATGGAGAGTCGGCTTCCCTGGGACACAGCACAGAGCACGCACTTGAAGGTCGATCCCACAGAAAATACTTGTGTAAGCAAGACAAGAATTTGTTTCTCATTATATACACACATCTGAGCGTACTTAATCAACACAACTGTTTTTTAAAAAAAAAAAATTAATCTGTGACCAAAAGCACTATCGTGTTTGCTGGGTGCCATTCTCATTCGAATCATATCCAAAAAGTCTAGAAAGAACTCAAAACTAGAAAGTGGCCCAAATGCTAAGGCTGCCTATGGCTCTTGCTGAAAAATAGTTGCCGGTCTGATTTGAGTGTCTAAAAAGAATGACAGGAATTATCGGGTTCTTCCTGATTTCAAGAGAACTTCCCAGAAGGAGGTGGAGGGCCAAGAAAGCCACCTGCCTGCTTGGTGGCCGCTCGTGAAGGGGCAAGGCCAAGAATCTTCTGGATGTTCTGAAAAGAAAACAATAAAAACTGGGTTTTAATATGAGATATAGAGAAAAGTGTTTTACAGAGACCTTATAGACAGAGAAGACGTTACAGATAAAAAGTACCTCTGCGACCTAAAATAGGATGATTACTACTGTGCTATTTTTAAAAGGTCTATGATGCTGTGGAGATCACTGAACAGTAAAAGCCCTCTTACCTGATGGGACCCTGGGCTACTAGCCAAAGAAGCTGAGTTTTTCAAGTGGAGAATCAAAAAAAAAAGATAATCTTTTATTTCAACACAAAGCATATAAAGCATATTCAACTTAGCTGCTATTTCTTGTAGCAAAGCCTTTTCTCTGAGTAAGGGGTCTTATGGCTGGATTTAGTTATTACTGTACCATCTGAAGTTGAAACTCAACCAGTTTCAATGTCTTCAAAGGTGTGAGAGATTTCAGAATCTTGCAAAGCAACCTGAGTCCAGAATCCTCCTAGATTTTTAGCACTTCCCCTCATCTTTTTCAGTTGTCTCACTTATATCTAATTCACTAGTTTTTCTTTTAGAAACTCAGCTTTATTAAACCAGTTTTCATAAAAAAACAACTATTTTTATACTCAGATTTCATCAGTTAATAACATTAAATTAAATCACATAAATACAACAAGTAAAACCCAGCATAAACAGTTTGAGGGTAAACACAGCTGACTCTTGACAAGGCAATGACTCAACTTGTGGGAGCAGAGAGGTGCAGGCATACTAAAGAGCAGTCAGGAGTGGACAGTGTGATCTGGGGAGGGATCGGTGCTTGAAAAGGCGAAGGAAGGGGGCTCACGAGCAGAGATTAAGTACAGGTCAGTTAAGGTTTTGTACAGCATCTGTAAGAGCGAAAAACCTTAGAGATCATCTAATTATTCTTCCTCAATTCTTTCATTTTATATTTGAGAAATTCTAATTAGAACTTGGAAGAGTAGAATGGCTTGTCCAAAATTACAGTTAAGTGAACAGCAGAGTGAGAATTAAAACCCATGTGCTTTGAGTTATAATGTAAAGGATTCTCTTGCACAGTACTTCCTCTGTTAAAGTTCTGATCTTCAGAACAAACTGTACGCCATGGTAGGCATGTTAGCTTGTATGCATTCACTGACTCAACAGTTACTAAGTACCTGTTGTGCATAAGGTACTATGAGAATGTCCATATCCATGCTTCTGACGTATACTCTCCCCTGAGCCTTTATCATTAAGAATGATGATTGCTACAGAGGTGAGTGTTCAGATTTCTGAAATAGTACTCTGTCAGAATTTAACAGAATATTTAAATATGAAGGCACAACTTTAAAACTCATAAAATACCATAAAATATTCATTCATTCATTCACTCACTCACTCTCAGTACTATAGATCATGCTTTACTTTAAAAAGAAATCTGGGGAGGGGTGGGTCGAACTCAGTTGGTAGAGTGCATGCTTAGCATGCACAAGGTTCTGGATTCAATCCCCAGTACCGCCATTAAAAAGAAAAAAGAGAAAGAAAGAAAGGAAGAAGGGAAGAAAGGAAGAAAGGAAGAAAGGAAGAAAGAAAGAAAGAAAGGAAGGAAGGAAGAAAGGAAGAAAAGAAAGAAAAGAAAGAAAGGAAAGAAAGGAAGGAAGAAAGGAAAATGGAAACACAGAGAAGAAAAAAAAAAAACAAGAAGAAAAATCAATCATTAGTAGCTCAGATTACTTCTCCTCAGTAAAGCTGAAGAATGTTTTTATTACTTTCATAATAATTATTCTTCATGGCTCGCTCTAAAAATTCACTGCACGAGGCATTAAGAAGACCAAATGATATAAAGTCACTAATTTCCCAAGTTCTTTTATTTAATCACTAAGTATTTACTGACCACCTACAAGTATGCTGCATTAAGCAAGGCATTGCGGGAAATTAAAGATAAAATTCAAAATAATAAGACATGACAGAAATAGCTGCTGATAAACACATTTGTCTGGTTAACAAACACAGTAACACAGTCTAGACAAAATACACAAGGCATCACAGCTCAGTTATCCTGTAGAGACAGGGGGTCAGTTAAGGGAGTCCTTATCATTTTGGAAATAAAGACCAGTGTAAAAACCTCTGATGCCCTTTAAATTACAGGTTTACTATCATTTAAGGAAGACAAATGAAAGGAAAATAAGAAATACTCTGAAGGGCAGGCCAAAAGGGTAGACTGTTGACAGTCTCAATACGAATTAAAAACATGTAAGTGACTGCTGGACACAGGCCAGGGCTCTAGATGGAAAACAGCCCTAACGGCAACAAAAACGTTAAATGTTAGTAACCAAGGCTGAAGTTCATGGAGATACAGGCAGGTCTATAATGTGTTCTCCTTGTGGCTCCTGTCACAGGCTCCCTTTGGGAACACTAAATCAAATTTATCACTGGTACATTACCCAAGTATTTGTATTTTAATGTCAAACGCTCTGCATTCTCTGTCATAAATCTTATCCTTTAGTGAAGTTCTAAGTAATCAGTTTAAATTCCTAAAGTCTCACAAATGAACTCATGATGATTTTTCTTAGATAAAACTCCCCCGGCTTCCCCGTCTGTGAGGTCTTCTCCTCTCAAACACAGGTGGGAAATAACTGGTGGTCTCAAGATGCAAAAGACGTAAGTAAAAGAGTAGAGGTCACTATTCTGTCCACAGTGGTAATAACATCCTATATTTCTATGCACTTTAAAGTTTGCAAATAGTTTTAAGGACAGGGTCTTGGTCCATAGTTGTCTTGCTTTTGATTTGACAAAGCTGAGGCAGAGTGAGGATATAAGTCAGGATGTGAACTGATACATAACTCAAGGCACAGTTTTCCTCTACTAAACCACAACTTTCTAAGGGACCTTCATCTTAGGAGTGATAAATCTTGTAGCAGGCCTGGCCTATAAAAAATTCACAATTATGAAGACCATATATGAGCATACCATAGAAAAAATATGTTATATTGTTAAGTGAATTAATGCATATAACTCAAAACCCACAAGCACCAAGAGTGAACACTAATGTAAATTAGGGACTGTGGGTGACAATGATGTGTCAGTGTAGGTTCATCAGTTGTAAAAACTGTGCCATTCTTATGCAAGGTGTTGACAGTGGAGGAGGCTGTGTGTAAGTTGGGGACAAAGAGTAGATGGGAAATCTCTGTACCTTCCATTCAATTTTGCTGTGAACCTAAAACCGCTCTAAAAAATAGTCTTAAAAAATGCATACAAAGACTGCAAGAATATATGGAAAAATAACAGTTGTATTAATAATAGTTGTATACCCTTTTCTCATTCATTGCCTCCAACTGTTTGTAATATTGCTAAAAAGGACAATTTAAAATAAAGATAAATATTTCCGTAGGTACCATCTCAAAGGACTTTGCATGTATATTCTCATTTAATCCTCACAACAACTCAATGGAGCAGCCTTATTATTATCCTTACATGCACATAAAAAAAGAAGATCCAACTGCTGGGCTGTAATTCAACACATACTTGCTGAGCTTTACACCGTAGAGCAGGTATGTTTGTATATATTATCTCCTTTATATCTTTCAACAACCTCATCCATTAAACTTGACCTGACTGCTCTCCTATGGTCTCTCAATTCTCCTCCAGTTTTTCAGGCCTTCTTAATTAGCAAGATTTAGTTTAGAAATATGTATTTTGCTAAAAGACAGGAGTTTTAACATATTATGGAGATAATATGGAAGAACACAACAGAAATGCAAAATATAAGGTATGGTAAGGTTTCAGAAAAATATAAAACAATTATTTTGGATTTCTGTCCAGTCCTATAATAGGGTAGCAACTGAAGACTGTATGTCAGAAGGGAAAAACAAAGGAAAAACATTTTCCCGTAATCATGCCTTCTATTGGAAGGAAACCCAGAAAAATACCACTACAGGATTTGCGTTCCTTCCTCCCTGAAAAGGATAAGGACCAGTGATCAAGAAGAGGAAGTTGTTGGTTGCTAACTGGATATTTTGGGAAGACTCAGGTCACTGGCAATAAACACATTCTGCTAAATTTTATTCCTTAGTCATTTAGCTAAAATAACTCAGCCATGGCAGTCTCAGCTCACTCTTTGTTAGTTTCTCTGGCATCTGGTTACTAGCCTTCGCTTCCAATTGATTACAATTTCCCATCAAGTTCCCATAACATAATCTTTACTTTATCCATAATGCTGTGTGTAAAATCCAATCACTTTAAATGGCCCCATCCAATAGTCCCAGGATTTTCACATTGTATCTGAATAGGCTGATTGGGAGAATGGTGTACAGATTAAATTTTTACTGAAAAAAAAAAATGACAGTACAACATGGGTATAGCTGAAATATTACTGGGTTAGCCTTCAGGAGACTTATTTCCAGTACTGGCAAACTAAGGAAAGAAAACAAGCATTCTCTTTCACTTTACCAAATCTCAATTTTCCTTACGTTTAAAAGAAGGGGGCTCAGAAGATCAATTGTTTTCAGACCCTTTAGCTACAGAATCCTTTCTTTCTTTTTTTTTTTATGAGAATCCACAGAATGTAGCAATCCAATCAAAAGGACAGTCAAATGTGCTTACACATATTCAAGAAATCAGTCATCTAAATTATAAATATTAAGTAGTTCATTTGTTTCCTTTTGTTAAGGATTCCACATATAAGTGATATCATACAGTGTTTTTCTTTCTTTTTCGGGCTTACTTCACTTAGAATGACGATCTCCAGGTCCATTCATGTTGCTGTAAGTGGCACTATTTTATTCTTTTTTGTGACTCAGAATCCTTTCTTTAAACAAAATCTCACTTAAAACTCCAACAAATAAAACAGAAAAAACAGTGTTGGGAACCTGAAGCCCCTTGCTGGGCCCTTCAAGCTTCCCCAATAAGCACCTTCAAGGAGCCACAGTCCTGTGGCTACGAATGCGTTTATATTGCAATAAATTATATTGCAGACTTTAATACATATTCTCCAGAGTGGAAATCAAAATTCTGAAAAGGAGGATGAGCACATAAATCT